ATACGAGCGGTAGGGTTGGGCGGGTAATATCGACCCAAGTGTGATTAAATTCGTGGCGCGAGGAGGGGTGTTTGGAGCTCAGCGGTTAGAGCGTTGGCTTCCGGTAAAGGTCTTCTCTGATACGCGGGTTGCGAAATCCCAACCGGCGGTGAAGGCCTTCTCTAATACGCAGGTTAAAATCCCGCCTAACGCCTCGACTTTTTTCACAATTGGGTCAACTCAAATTAAGCAAATCTGCCAAACCTCCTAATGATTTTAATATTCCCGATCAGAACCAACAGGAGAACAAGCCCGTAGCGCAGTGGGTTAGAACGTTGGATTTCTCGCCAACAAAAAAAAACGGTAAATTTACCTGACACTTCACAATCACGCCTGTGGGAATGTGTTTTAGGAGGACGCAGTTGGCGGTTTTGTTGATTTTCTGGCCGCCGGGTCCCCAACCGCAGACAAACTGTTCCTCTAGATCGGTCTCTTGAAGTGTGAAGCGATCGGCTCCGAGCCCTCGGGTCAAATGGAAGCCGGCAAATGTGAATGGTCGTATATTTGGCGCAGTGAGGAGAGGTTTACAGATGGATTTTGAAAAGGACAACATTTCAGTTTGTGTGGGGGGCAAGTCTCCTCGCTGCCACAGGACTTGGAGCCTAGAAGGGAAAAAAGAGCGCTCGTGATTAAATTCGTAGAAACCATTCCAATAATTCAGAAGGACTGTGCTATTAATATACTTGGTTAAATTGATACTTGTATGAGTCTGCAGAGGCGATATAAAAATCGTGTTTAATCAAATTTCCTGTCCCGTATCTACGCCGTTGGTGTGATATTGGGGGCAGAAAATGAGCATCGGTAGACTCAATACGACAGCTCCAAAGATTCCGAACAGCATTGCCGCAAAACGGCATTTCAAGCTGCTGACTCCGCGGAGCAGCACGGAACTGCCTGTCAATCACGATACATTTTTTAAGACGGGGAAGATGAAGATTGCCTCAGGGCCTCACTCAGTCAAACTCATTTTCTCCCTAGGTTTAACGAGAAATTGTCGCTCCCTATACCTGCATTGTACCCTGGTCAATAACCCGTTGTGAACCAAAAGCCCAAAAGGAACTGCGGGCGCAAAGCACCGCCCAGGTGTCCATAAGGAGTGCACCGATTGCTAACGGAACTCACTCGTAACGCTCTGCCTTGGGGCTTATTCTCCAGCCCCACCAGCGGCCACAAAGCGCCTATTAACTTAGCCATATGACATTGCCGACAAAGACCAGGGCGATTTAAATGGCTACTTCTGGCTCATAAGCCATCATCAGTCAATCGTACCTAAACCCAAGCGGTGCCCCACCCGAGATTTGATTCGCGACCGTTTTATTTAGAAGACCAACGTTCCAACCACTACGCTACGGGCACAGTGCCTTGCCGGTCTAGATATCGGGAAGCTCTGACATTCTAGTTAGCGATAGGTGAACGTTAATCAACAAATGTCAATAAATCCCCATCTAAACCGGCAAGATAACGAACCCGTGA